ACGTACACCTACAACGACAGCAACAATATTGCTCGTATATTAACCTTACTCGAATTAGATACTCCCCATCTACCCGTGTTGAATAAATCGTTAACCTTAAACGGAAACAAACATAATATATAATTGGTTTTAGACTTCATATCACAGGCGAAAAGCGATCAGCCGACCAAGTGTCGTTTTTATATTATTCCACGCATAAACGCGACTCGTCCGTTCGTACTGTTTAATTTGGGACGAGAAATTTTACGGTTTTGAGCGCAGCGAAGAATTTATTGGTTTTACTATGACGTATATTTTATTTTTATTTTAGTTTTTTCAAAGCCATAAACTTACAGATAGTCATGCCCGTACGCAACGACAAATTATCGTTTTCAACATACAATTCTGAGTAAAGTTCGGTTAAAAATACTTTTGAAATACCGTGATTTTCATGATTAACGTCAATTTGTGTTTTTTTTTAAAAAAAAACTATTATCTTAAAGTAACTTAAAACTGCGTCTAAATAAGGATAACAGAGATATGCTGTGAAAAATGTTAAATCTTTACATTTATTTTCAATAAAATTACAACAAAAAACGAAAATTATGAAACCGTTATTTTTGTAAAATTTCCTGTTTTCCCTACGTTTCCCCAATTTTTTCCTAGTTATTCAGAAAATTACAAATAAAATCATAAAACGACCTGACTATATCGGCTTCTTGCACCATCTAGATTTATTAAATGCTATATTTTCTCTTCTATAATTTTTTGATCGGTGCAAAATTTCTTATAGAAAAGTTCTTCACAGATGCAAAAAATTAATATCAATAATAACACCACACACATCGCGTAGTATCACAACCAATACATTTCTCGCTTCACTCAGAATTTAAATATAATTACTTGAACACTGTTTTAATCAATCAGTGTTTTTAACATCTTGACTCTAAAATCCCTAATGAATACTACTACAGTATTAAGTAAAATTTCAGGGGGTGTAAGTGGAGGTGGTATTCGATTCGTATAGGTTTAGATCACTGCGTAGGTATTCCGGTGAAAAAAACAATAGCAAATATTCTGGAGCAATACGTAACGAATACATAATTAGTAAATCTAGTTAAAATGTCGTACTCGTCGACTTGTAATTTCATTAAAAACCGATTATATTAACGGCACCAATAAAACTGTGCCGTAACAAACTGTGGGTCGAGTTTTTTTTTTAGTTTATTTATTTTTTTTATTTCGCTGAAATCGTATACACGCAAACGCGGATTTACGTCAATGGTGAAAAACGTAAACCTCGCATTGATTTGTATGGCTGTAAAGTTCTGTGAAATCTAAAATTACATACAGTATCGCTAGAAATCTGTTTCAGTTATATTGTATTAAATTTTAAGAAAATACATTGGTATTAGCCAGTTTAACCAATATAAAAAATTTTTGAAATTCATTTTAATAAAATTAATCAATAACCCTATACCTGATGTTAAATCATAATAGGCTATAGTCTTCTCTATCTGATAATACAATGTGCAATTATACATTTGGCATTTTTTCATAATGAAATCATTTTGATATTTTACCGATTACAAATGACAAAAATTGACATGCCATCAAATTGTTTTGAGAATTTTGAAGTTTGATGTTTGATGTTTGATTTGCATTAATATATTTCTTAGATGATTAGGTCGATTAAAATTAATTTAAACAATTTAATATTTCTTAATATTAATGTGTTTTGCGTTCACTGATGTCATTAACCTTACGGGGTGATTTTTGCTTATATAGTTGTACCTCGTTAACGATATGTCCGATATTATATTAATGATATGCATAGGTATATTAGCATTTAACGAGAAAAATACCTATTCTCAGTTCGAATTTAATTTTAAAAATGAAGAGGGCGGGTATTTATAAAAATTTCCGTTGCGCACCATCACAAAATTCGTGTTAAAGGTAAATTCGACTTAACTTTTATTTTGCCGGTCCTATTTACTCAAAACCGAAGTTAAATATTACTGCTTATACGTGCAAACATTTATAAATATAATTCCACGTTTCATAATATTATTCCAATTGACTATTACTAATGTTGTTAGAATATATTTTTTTCACAAGACGTGTGACTCGATTAAAATAATTACAAGATAATTTAGTAGAAGTTTTTTTTAATAAATATACTGACAATTGAGAACCAATAGATGATAATATACTATACGAATAATAAATTCGATGCGATTTTGCATATCAAAAGCGCGTTGAAACCTCCTGAAATTGATAATTTAGACTACCGAGTCGATGGTTTAACGTTAATGTAATTTAAAAGTCAACAAAAACTCATTATTTCTTCGGTTTTACCGTAGTTTTATTGCGATAGTTATTCCATCGATACATTGTTATTAATAGCTAGAGCCACTGTTTTAGCGGTATCGTAAACTGTACTATCGATATTTTTAACATTCATCAGAGAATATAATGACGAGTAAATAGGGGTCAGCAAATTTTTCATCGCACCACTCCGTCGATTTTTGTTAGTGCAAGTGTGCCAACGATTATTGACCCCGAGATACTGTAGAGAGGGGGGTCAGTAATCACGAGAAAAATTGTACATGTTGTTCAAATTTCTCCAGTTAAATTTTGCCAACGATAAAATATTCATTAGTTAAATTTTACACCCTCGATAGTTGACTGCAGAAATGGTATAATGTCTGTAGTAAAATTATGCCGAGAGAGGGGGAACAATTTTTTCGATTATTCCGGTTCTCTATCATTTTAAAGTACAACGAATTACACCCCATTACCCAAAATTAATATGTGTGCTCGTGTTTTTGTAATTTGTATCATCGTGTATATTGGACACATGAAAAAAAAATAAAGACCTAATATTAATTAACGGGTAAATAATAAAAATATAATTTCGCGTCTGTTAAATTAATAATAATATTATACAGAGCAATGCAATTTTATATTTACGAAATAAATGACGAGGATTATCAGTGGCTGGTATATTTTGAGGGGCTCCTAAAAGAGCTATTTGTTTAAAACCGTACAAACAGTAATCCCGTCCCGACACGTTTTTTTTTTTTTTTTTAACATTTTCTTCTTTGTAAAAAATCACACTGTACATTTTATTTTTTTTTTTACTGAAATATGACCGGAAATATGTTATAGTATGTACGATATGAAAACTGAAAATTCACCTTTCAAAAACCGGACAAAATATATAGATACAAATTTAGATATCAACAGCGAACCGGTAACTATAGGTATTTTGGAACGATATTTATTTTTCGAATCGCCCGGAAAACGAAAAAAAAACGTCGGTACCTATACAATTGGGTGGTGGCCCGGAAACCCTGTATAATGAGCAACGCGAATATTTTTAAAATCACAAAGCGAGGGTCGTTAATATATACAAGAAGAGACGAATATATTATAGCGCGGATACTATCTGCAGAAATATTAAGCAAGGTGCATGTTATGGTTGATTATCATTGTTTGCTGATCATACGTTTTATTGACGTCAGCAGTCATTTTGGAAATCGCGAAGCGCGAGAGATTTTCTAGAATTATTCGCTATTGTGTTGTACTCGAGGTACGGTTTCGAACACAAAATCTCGAAAAGTAACGAAAAGTTAATATGAAAACAAAAAAAATGTCTGTTGAAAACGTTTCGTTCTCTTGCCGTGTTTACATTAATATTACTGTACAATTACTGTAGCCAGCGGCCGCAGTTCAAAAAAAAAAAAGAGGTTTCGTATTATTATCATCTTCGTAATAATTACAGCGATACATTAATTTTTTTTTTTTTAATTGTTTTTATTTGGAAAGTTCAAAACACTCGTTCGCCGAATAGCGGTGTTCTTCTAAGACATAAACGGTAAAAGTTTTTAGGGGATAGAAAAATTAAATGAAATTGTATTTATACCGAAAAACTAGACGAAACTGAGTTTAAAATAGAGTTTTTGTTTGACGGATTTTAATTTTGAAAATGGAATCAAATTGATTAACAATTGTTAAATGTTCCAAGATTTGTATCTGTTCCATGATAAAGAATATAATACTAAAAATAAAACACGTTTTCGATAAATCGATATGCAAACTGAAAAAAAAAGGCATTTATAATCGCCTTCGTCATAACCTAATTGTAAATTTATTAATCAATCAAAATCCGTTGAAACCGATCTTTGCGTTTTGTCTAGCTTTTCGTTCTGAAACGTCATAATATTCCTCCGTGAAAACAGTCCTCCTCTTCTTCTCTTAAAATGGATATCTAACAGTAAATTACTGGAAAAGTGTTATCGTTAAGGTTTTTATTCGAATTTCAAATTTTGTAAAATTGAAGAAAACGCTGAAAAACCAATTCGAAACTCTTAAAGCTGGATTCACAACTAGTCATGTCGTTTCGTGTCGTGTGAAATTTAATTCATCGAAATATTGATTTTTTTGTGAGGTGATATTTTTTTTGATGATATTAAGTAAAAACTGATAAGTATAATATGTACAATCAATACTACGATCCGCTTGAATTGAACATATTCTTTACCGCGAACGTTAATCACCGTGGTATTTAACCTCGCTCACCCCCGGTAAAATTTCACCGCGGAAATGACATGGTGTTTGTAAACCATCAGAAGTACAATTTTACTAAAGCGACGATTTAATCTTCGTTAAAAATTCGCTAGAAAAACTTAGCCGGGGGCAAATATTCATTAGTGAAATTCGACCGGGACGCGGGAGTAAAATTTCACTATCACTTATTACCAAGGGAGGGGGAGGGGTAATGATATTACGCCCCCTCGTAGCATTTTGTTTTACCAATGTGATAAAATATTGCAGGACTCATTATAATCACCGGTCTTGGTGAACGAGATCGAGAATGTATCAACCGCGGCAACGATACGATTCCAGCCAGTCAGAAAAGTGGTAATGCAGACGACGCGACGAGTAGAGAACACTTTTTTTTTTTTTTTGCTGAGTATTTCGCGGACTAACGAACCAACTCGTAAGAATCACTTGCCTTTTTTTTCTTTTTTTTTTTTTGTCGTTTTCGCCGCGATATTCCGCGATCGTTTAACTCGACAACGCCATCGTTGTCGGTCTCTAGGCGTCCTACTCCCGAAGGCTGAGGCGTCTGTAACCGCTCGCGGCAGTGATCTTCGCTCTCGTCCGCCGAACCCGCGGAAAACACTCACTCCGGGACGCGTATTCTCTTCCGGGTCCGGTCCCGGCACCGGGAGCGGAACGGGGCGGCGGGAACGCGGGAATGGAGAACGGAGCGAAACGGTACGGACGACGAGTGCACGCGGCGCGGAAAATAAAAAAAAAAAAAAAAAAAAAAAAAAAAAAATATAATAAAAACTCTCGTAAAAATCTCTCGGACCGCCGGCGGCGAAATTTCCGCGCTCCGAAAGCGGTTCTCGAACGGCCAAAGTTCACCGCGGACCGCTGAAATGTTATTACTCGCGGTGCGATACGCGCGCGTGAAAGACGGCGGCGGCGGCGGCGGCAGCGGCGGCGACGGCGGCTGCGGACCAACGGCGACGGCGTCGTGCGAACGTGTGACGGCCAGACCGCGACGACGGCGACGACTGGGACGACTACGGCGGAGGCGGCGGCAACGGCACAATAATAATAATAATAATAATAATAATAATACACAGACACTGCACCGCACGGCGACGACCGGTCGAACAGTGGCGGCTGTCATTCGCGGGGCATAGGTGCGCCTAGGATTATAATGGATGTGGTAAAAGCGCGCGTGCCGCAGGCCGCGGGATTTTTCTGTTCGGCCGCGTGCGAGCCGGGGTCCGAACACGCGCCGAATGAAAACGTCATGCGGCGCGAAGCGAACGGAACGTCGTGCCGGCCGTATCCGCTACACCCGCGGGCGGGAAAAACCCGGAATCCGAAACGCGCCGAAAATCGGAGTTGCTGGTGGCGAGTTTTACGACGCGAGGCGAGCGTTGAATCATAAAACGTACCGAAACCGGGCCGATATGACTTTTCGCCGGATCCCCGACGCACATATCGTACATAATACACGGTCGGCGTAAAACCGATAATTGATCCGATATTTCGTTTCCTTAGGTTCGCGGGCCGATACGAACAAACATTACAAAAATATTTGTATTTTTTTTTTAAAAAAAAAACCCGATATAAGCCGTGCGTCATGGAATTCCACAAGGATAATTGGTACCATTGACAAATGACGACGTTCAAATAATTAAAACATTGTCGTCCATCCGTAAAATTTTACGTACCCGTAAAATACACTTTGGCATCATTGTTATCACCACCGGCATTGCATACAAAGCGATATGCGAATTGCGTTATACATAATATCGGTTTAACAATCGGTTCGATAAAAAAAACTTATACCCGATACACACCGATGTTAATACCGTTATTCGGTTGTCGGCCCTAACAAGTTCATCGACTGAAAGCATTCATTCAGTAATTCTATCTGGAAATTATATGCCACGTTGTTACATTGATTTAGTAAATAAAATTTAGCTTTTTTGGTGTAACTACCTATGTGTAACTTTGACTCGAGTACTATTCGCTCTCGTTCCCGTTATAGGTAATAATTATTATTAAGTACGTGTTAGTTACTAATTTTATGTTTACATCAGTAATTATATTATTTCGTTTAATAAAAACCTATTTTTTTTTTTTTTTTTACGACTAAATATAATTTATGATCGTGTGTCAAATTTTGGAATATATTTAAGAAAACAAAAAAATTGTCTCCATATAAAATTATATAACACTAAAAAGGCTCAACAGATTTAAATGCAAATAACTGGCAAATTTTAGTATAATTTTTGTTGAATTTTGGATTATCTTGACAGCAAGGGAAAAAACATGACTAATTTAATTCTCGGAATCGTTTTTCATTAGCGATGATTTATCGATGCACATACAGATACAAAATTAAATTACTTAATACGTCTCCCCGATAAAATAAATACAATATCTATATTCTTCATCACTAATATTAGTGGGATTTTTAGGAGTAATATTGCAAGTATACTAAATAGAATTTGATTTTTCGGAGCCTGAACCGAAATGGTTCAGTAATTGGTATTTACTAGGTACGTTCAAACGAAACGTTTGTTCGTTTTGAAATTGAATTTCGCATTATTATAAACTATATTATTTTTGTGTCTCTATAAATAAAATGAAAGTCGTCCTTGATGTTATTTTTAATTCGAAACGTTTAAAAAACGATGTCCATCGACCTAATATAACAATTTCATTCAAACTGTATACGATATCTATAGTAAATCGCGGTACACTAACGGATTTCAAATAGATATCCGATCGAAAAACGTTGGTAACAAAGTTTATTTTATACGAAAAGTCTCATTTTCTGTTACGAGGACATAAAAAAAATAGTAAGTATAGGTAGCACTAACATGAATATAAAAAGGGCAGGAAAATGAACTAGATGGTTTTTTTTTTCAGACAAAGACATTTGCCTTGCCCATCATCTTGACCATTATACGGGGTTTAAACGAAATCAGTATATTGTCCCGCACATCTCTTAGAGAAAATAAAATGGCCATAATAAACCTCTTTTTTCTTCTTTTTTTTTAAGGCAGAGGTTAGATGAAATTTTATTTTGAAATAAAATATAGCCAAAATAAAGTACCACTTCGCACACACACTATAAAACCACATCTATAAGATACCTGTAAAGTTCAAGATAAGTTAAACTATTTATTTATATACCTATATATTATATACGAACGAGAGCAATAATTCATGATAAAATTCAAATCAGTGAAATACGCATACCTAGGAAATCTATACGCAACAAATAAACGGACAAAACCGCGTATTGCTTTGTAGTATAAAAATATACAATTTCCGACTGAAATGTGCATATTTTGTAATAACTCCCACCCAAAAAAAAAAAAAAATCATTTAAAATAATAATAATAAAAAACGACTAGATAGCTTATTTTCGGCATATAATGTGATATTTGTTTGATATAAAAATATTTTTGCCATTGTAAAAGTCAGTGCAGTAATATATAGGTGACTATATAATAGTTTTTCTGTGTGAAACACGATTTTGTTGTAAATTTTATTGCTTCACATATGGGAATGTATTATTTCACGTTCCAGTCCTCCGTAGTTATATTATAGTGTCGTCGTGTTAGAATGAAACATTTCTATTCGTAGCCAAAAAAAGAAAAAAACCCGTTGGTCGCAATGAATAAAACTGTAATAATAATATGTATAACTTGTATAGCCGGTATAAACAAAAAAAGGATTTAATATCATAACAAAGTAGAAAAAATATTCGCCACCCTTTTATTACAATAAAAAAAAAATGATTCACGAAGGCGAAATGTTTCACAAACAATTTTCAATTTGCAGTTTTTTTTAAAAGAAATTTTTAAATAAACCATAATAATATTATGTAAAAAAAACGTTATTAAATATTGAATAAAATACTGTAAAGCGGAACGCAAAAAAAAAAAAAAAAAAAAAAATAACTATAAAAGACTATAGTCATCAAGGGCATATTTAGTACAAACGAATTTCGGCCAAGAAGACATCCCATCCCGGGATTTATACGATCAGATCGAGGCAGCCTCCTTTCGTGGCTCTCTGACTTTCTGCCACATGGTAGGAAACATACTGAGCCGCAAGGAGCACGACGAAAGGGTAATGGAGGCCAAGGCTAGGGCTCACTAGCTACCAAAGGAGCAATGGCCTCACCAACCTAGGGCATCAAAGTCATCACACAATAGGAACCAGCCGCCGGCTTAAGGTTATGTACAGGTTATGTTAGGCCAGCATAATATCAGGAGGTGACGCGGTCCAACCGCTCACGTATAACCTTAGTTTTAATTAGTATAGTTAATAATGTGAACCTGTCCCGCGAAGGGGAAAACAGGATTTTACAAAGCATTACTTAATTATGCTTAGTAATAAATGATGGTGTTAGTGGGGTAGCAATATGAAAAACTGATCTCTAATTGCTATCGGTTAACCGGGAAAAAAAAAACAGTACAAACCAATTTAGATTATGAGTGTAGAGAGGAATGTATTGGTTTTACTATGATGTGTGCCTTTGTTTAGTACACATATTTTCTACCAGAAGTCTTATTCCGATCAAAAAACGACAAAAAACCTTTTTTGTAGAATTTCCATTCTAGTTGGTGTGATTAGGTAGATCATTTTATCTATTTGTTAAATAATTTACGCCCGCGTTGGAGCAAAAGTATAATATAAAGATAAAAAAAAAAAATGTACTTATAATATTTGACATAAGTACAAATTTTAATAATGGTTTAACCATTAGAAGCTGCTTAGAAAAACATTCTAATGAAAGCAAAAATTAAGATAGATGATAAATAACCTCTTCGAAGGATACAGGAAATAACCAATGGAAAAGTGGAAACCCTATTTCTTAGTTTAACCATTTGTGTTATATCACATATTATGTATGATGCTATCCATTTAAAGGATTGTCGTTTAATACAAAATTGTTTAGTTTATACAATAACGATCTACAGTCGACCAAATCGACTGCGTTTTGAATTTTTTTGATCTTCTAAGTAGTTTTAATAATAATTGGGAAAAACGGATAAATTTATAAAAATACAAATTTCATTGTTTTCCGATTTTTTCAATTTTTTTTTTCTCCCAAAAATGTTCGTATGAATTTCAAAAGTATCCTATTTTCTAAAGTAACATTTTATCTAGTGAATGTGTAGAAAAGTTATTTTTTGGTTTTGTTTGTATTTTTTTTAATAGTTTGGGAAATTCAACTACATCATACAACAACAGCACTTTAGGAAATTCGTACTCTAAAATAGTGAAATATTGCCGGACTATAACAATATTGTTCATTTAGGTACAGGGAAGGTACAAAGGTTGAAAATAAAAACGGTGTCACCCTATATATTAAACCCGATATGGTAAAAATTCATATTTATGCAGTTTTCTACACAATCCAAACATACATACCTACATATTATTAAAGATAGAGAATAGAAATCGATTTTTAAATATAAACATAACGGAAAATGACACGTCGTTCCTTTGAAATATACGGTACAAGGCAAAACATGAGATTATATTATTCTATTTCGAACAATACTGTTCGAAACGAGTCTCTTATATATAGAATATAAAACGCAAACGATTTCGTCGTTGACCCAACAATATGTATAAAAGTTTCAATAATTTTGAATGTTTTCGTTAAAAAAAAAAATCCAATAAAGCAATAGATGTTGGAACCAATAGAGTTTATAAATAAAATA